CTGCTTGGGAGGCTGAGGTAGGAAGATTGCAAGTTTGAGGCCAGTCTGGGAAACTTAGTGAGATCCTGTCTCAAAATAAAAAAATAAACAAACAAGGCTTGGATATAGCTCAGTTCTGGGTTCAACTCACAGTATTGAAAAATAACAACAACAATGATGATAATAACAACAATAAAAATAATATAAAGGGAGGGAGGAAAGGGTAGATTATCAATGAAAGAAGGTTGGTAGTTCATACCATTCAAGCTGGGTGGTAATAGAAGTTTATTATATCTTTAGTTTTGTATATGTTTAAATTTTCCCATAATAACAAATAATTTTTTCATGTTTCTTCACCATCATTTTTATAGTGCCTATAGCAGTGCTTAGCATATATAAACACTCAATACATATTTAATCAATATTCGTTGTAAGGGCTGAAGGTGTAGCTCAGTGATAGAGTGCTTGCCAAGCACACCTGAGGCCCTGGATTTGATCCTAACTACTGCAAAAAGAAAAAAAAAAATTCATTGCAAATTAATTCAGTGGAGAACGTAGAGATATATTTTCAATATAAGTTTTGTATCATTTATTGACAATTACTGGTTATATAAATTTCAGTTTTCTGAGGATTTTAGGGTTTGTCCTTCTAAGCTATGCATCTAAGAGTATACTAATTATGGGAATGTCAAAACTTTCATAGCTAATTCAGTGATACTATAACCTTTAATTGACATCAAACCAGTTTTTAAAAACATACCTTGGGGCTGGGATTGTGGCTCAGAGGAAGAGCCCGGGTTCTATCTTTAGCACCACATAAAAATAAAGGCATTGTGTTGTGTCCATCTACACCTAAAAAAATAAATAAATAAATATTAAAAAAAACATACCTTTATTTTATTTTACCTCTTCCTTACCAAATCATGATAATTAACTGCTATTTCCTATATCAGAAATATGTAGCAAAGTTAGGAAGAAAACACAAGTCTGATTAGGTGAAAATTTATGGATCTAGTTACTTAAAACTTTCGGCAGGCTATAGTTTGGATATCACTGATGTAGATTATGTTATGTTTTAGGAGATTTTCAACACTACTCAAATTATCAGAGTAATAGAGAAAGAAATTCTAGTTGTTGGATTTTTGTTTTTGTTTTTTGGTACTGGGGATTGAACCCAGGGGTCTTTACCACTGAGCCACATCTCCAGTCCTTTTTTTTTCTTTTGAGACGGGATCTCACTAAGTTGCTTGGGGCTCGTTAAGTTGCTAAGGCTGGCTTTGAATTTGCAACCCTCCTGCCTCAGCCTCCCAAGCCTCTTGGGATTACAGGCATGCACCACCATGCCTAGTGAGGAAGAAATTCTAGTAAAAGTTGGATTCCATGTACCTAAAGATGCTGAATAAATTTTATTAGCATATTCAGGCAGTAGTGATTAACTGGTTACTGTGCTAGACACTGGGGATATAATGGTGAACAAAAGCCATCTCCTTCAAGGACCTTAGATACAATCCCTTGGGATCTTTCTTTTTCCTCCTTTAATACAAGTAAAGCTTAATTACCTGGATGGCCCAATAAAGGATCACCAGGTTTTTAAAAAATATTTATTTAGTTATAGATGAACACACAGTATCTTTATTTATTCTTATGTGGTGCTGAGGATTGAACCCAGTGCCTCACACATGCGAGGCAAGCACTCTACCACTGAGTTACAGCCTCAGCCCCATAGGATCACCAAATTTTTGAGGAAGGACTCAGTATAAAAGCAAAGTCAATGACAAGTAGGTGATGCACGGAGCAGAAGAAAACGTCCCCAAATTTCAAGAGGTAAGAGAAGATGTCGCTTCCACACAACAAAAATAGAAACATTCAGAAAAGGATAGAAAGTTCTTAGAAATTAAAATATAACAGAAGTTAAAATATTCAGGATAAATGTTAGAAAATAAAGTTGAGAAATCTGTAAAAGACAGCTTCAAAACAGTGGAGAGACAAAGCACAAGAAAACTAGAGCATTAATTCAGGAGTTCCCAACAGCTGGTTAGTAGGAGTTTAAAAAAAAGAGAGCCAGGCATGGTGGTGCACACCTGTCATCCCAGCGATTTGGGAGGCTGATGCAGGAGGATTGCAAATTAGAAGCCAACCTCAGCAAGTTAGTGAGACCTTGCCTCAAAATAAAAAATAAAAAGGTCTGGAGATGTAGCTTGGTAGTAAAGAGCCCCTGGGTTCCATCCCTAATGCCTAGTGCCTACCCCTCCGCCCCGCCCCCCCCCCAAAAAAAAAAGAACAGAGAAAATAAGGAAGATTAAAAGATCTTTTTTAAAAAATGTAAATAATTCAAGAAAATTTTCTGGAACAGAGGAAGGTGTCTGGGCTGACACAGCACTCTGAGTGTCTAGCTCAATAAAGGATAGAAAAAAAGCCAACGGTGCAAACCTGTAATCCCAGCTACTTGGGAAACTGAGGCAAGAAGATCCAAGATCCAAGGTCATACTGGGAAATTTAGCAAAACCCTGTCTCAAAATAAAATTTTAAAAGGGCATAGGATGTAGCTCAGTGATAGAGGTGGGAAGAAAAGAATTTTGAGGCAATAAGCATCAATATTATAAAGGCCAACATTAAATAATAAAGAGAACTATCAGGAAGACAAAACCTTGAATTTCCGTGCATTTAAAATAAGAGTGGAAATATATGAAGCAAAATCTGACAGATCAAATACAAATTTGATAAATATGCAATCAACAGGAAGTATTTTAATGCATTCTGTTAGAAGCTGATAAATTAAGCAGCAAAAAAAAAAAAAAAAGTAGACAGGAAATAATTGAACAACAAAATTAGCAAGTTTGACTTAATAGATCTCAAAAAACCCCTGCATTAAAAAATAGAGAGAGAGGGCTGGGTTTGTGGTTCAGCGGTAGAGCGCTTGCCTAGCATGTGCAAAGCCCTGAGTTCGATCCTCAGCACTACGTAAAAATAAATAAATAAAACATATTGTGTCCAACTACAACTAAAAATAAATATTAAAAAAATAGAGAGAGAATATGCTTTATTCCCAAATATACATGGGATATAAACATTTCCTTCTACTGGGTCACAAAGGAATTCTTTTTCAGTACTGTTGATTGAACTCAGGGGTGCTCCACAACTGAGCTACATCCACAGCCCTTTTTATTTTTTATTTTGAACAGAGTCTCCTCAGGTTGCCCAGGTTGTCCTTAAACTTTTGACCCTACTGTCTCCCCTCCCCAGTTACTTGGATGACAGGTATGTGCTGCCACAGCACAAAATAACTCTTGAAATTTTATATATTTGCTCCCTGTCTGCTGGCACCCCCTTGCTGGGAATTGAACCCATGGCCTTGTGCATGCTAAACCTTCACCCTGCCACTGAGCTACAATCCAGTCCCTCAAAATTTTAGAGATACTTTTATTTTTAACAGTACTAGGGATTGAAACCCAGGACCTTGGACACACTAGGCAAATGCTCTTACACTGAGCTACACCTCCAGCCCTTTTAAAAATTTTATTTTGAGACAGGGTCACTGCCGCAGTCTGGCTGGGCACAATCAGGAGCCACTTGTCAAAAGAAACTAAC